TTGTTTGTGTAAATGATAGGTATGAAAGACACTGTTATTAGTTTCATCAGCAATGCCTTTTAACACCTATGTAATGATGCCATCGGATAGAATTGCAAGATTGACATTGACAGATTTATCGCTTGCGAAACAGTGTAAGTCTTGAAATTCGTAAATGAACATATTTGTCAATCTTTGACATTCAACGTATGTCGATGGTTTTTGACAGTCTTTGAGAAGAACTAAAACATCAATATCGAGACTGTTTTCCGAGCCAAAGACATAATACGGAAGACCGGAACGAATGGATACGGGTTTAAATTGATCAATATTACCTACAAAAAAATGTCATTTTAATTTTCTCTTGGAAAAGTTTTCACTGACCTAATCTAGCTAATTGTTGTATCGTTTCTTCTCTCAATTTCATATTTTGTTCTAATAATGGTGTAATTTTGTTTTGATATTCTTCTCTATTTTCAATGACTTGTTGTTTTCTGTCGTTTAATGCTTCAATCAAGTCCATCTTATCGATCGGTGCCTTCTCTATTTGTCTCGTGAACGTATTTAATTGTTGACTATATTTTTCTAATTTTGAATAATGTTCATACACAACTCGATCACATCGATCGAGATGTTTATTCAGATTATAAATTCGATGTCGCTGGAGAATTTCTGGAATATGCGGTTCTATCGTTGAACTTGTACATATGGGATCAATCAGTTTGTTTTGTGCGAGAACATTGTCTATGACATCGTTCAAAACATCAGGACCTGATTGAGTAAGATGATGAGACGGATTGGTAAAGGTTAGCGAGATTTCATGATCAGAAATGTTGGTTTCCGTTATATGAAGAATGATATTTGGAGTGAGTTCATGTTCTTCACCAATTTTCGGTTTGAACGTGTCATTAGAGATGACTATGGCTCGATGATAGATGCCAATGTGTAAAACAACCGCATCTTCACAACCACCCGTGTGATCATAATACATTGAGCTAGCTGCTGGAATCACCAGAACATGTTCACCTTCGATAAGACTAATAAATTCCAATTTGACTTGCTCACCGTAACTTCCACTAAGAATTCCAATATATTTCGATGGGGAAATAACTGTCCCAACTGTTCTACATCCTTGCTGTAGAAAAAAATCAATTAATACAACTATGATTCGTTGTGAAAAATTATCACCATCGATAATGATGTTCACTTCAGAAAGTCGAGGATTGGGTGGTGTATCAACGTGAATGACGATATCTGTCCAACAACATTCTCGACTTACATCACAATCTCTTTTTTTGTATGGACTACAGCGACAAAAACCATTTGATTGATAATGATCACAATTCCATTTACATCTGGCACAAATTGTACTCAGTTCAAGACAATGTCGTGTAGCGATTGAAAAAGTAGACATTCTGAAGAAATTCTCCATACAATATGTAAATCGTTCGTATTCATAAATATGTAGAAGAAGAAAAATGATTCTGTATGAATCATGATCGAGGCTGACGTAATGTTTCAACTGTGTGTGTGTAATTGCGCAACGGTGAAAAATATTTAAATTCAGCACATCACTGTTATTCTTTTGTCTAT